AACCCTTCACTCAAAAAGCTATAACTATCACAAAAGCCTCAAAATTTCTATCAAATTCGAACAACCCACGAAACAAATTCGAAAATTCCTTCACGGTACCTCATAAGCAGCGAGAATCTGAACGAAACGTATCGAAGTAGATGAATCCTTCTTCGACTCGACCAAGTCTGGATGAGTCTCCTTTGCGAGTCTACGAAATGAAGCTTTGATCTCTGCGATTGAGCTGGATTCGGAGACATTCAAGAGATCGTACGCGTTTTCCACCGGAAACTCAGTCCGATTCGACTCAGCCTCGCCGCTTAGCAACCGAGTACTTCCTTGACTCATGTTAAAGAGGAAACGCGACGGTTCGAATCCGTAATTCAGATGAATCGGAACCGATGCGCCAAATCGCCGTCGTATCAATCCGGCGAAAATCGTCATCTCACTAACAGTATTCCGGTGGGAAATGTGGCCGGTAAGTGAAGGATATTGGCACGACGATGACACGTGGGCTTCTCGGTTTATCGCCACGTCATTTCAAGCTCACACTTGAATGGTTTTGGTCAACAGTATAAACGGTATAATAATGTGATGAGCCGTATTAAACTAAATGGGCCTTAAAATAGTAATGGGCCTGGATCCTCTCATAGATATTGACACTTAAAATGATGAGATGTTGATACGTGGTCGCATACTCACCATGCAAATTTTTGTTTTTAAACCTAATTAATATTTAGTACTATTAATCCAATATGTTGATGTTTCTTAATGGTTAATACATAGCATTAAGTTGTAGGTATACTCATTGGATTCCTGAATTCTGACGGTGAGTTTATAAAAATTAAAAGAAAAACACCTTTAACAAAAAATTGTTTCAATTTAAATACATAAATTGTGGGTTTTTACTCTATTTTTTTAACCTTGTCCACACGTGTCGAAACCCATTGATTTTTGGAATTCTACGTGACTGATATTTATCAAGGCTTTGAAATGATTAGTGTTGTATGAAATTGAGTAGTCAGTTCTAGTTTTAACCAATTGATTTGATTTGTGGTACTTCACAAAAGAAATAAAACAAAATTATCTTTTTATCTACTTGTAAAAGATAGTTGAGCAAGAAAAATGAAAATAAAACAAAATATCTTTATATATCTACTTGTAAAAGATAGTTGAGCAAGAAAAATGAAAAATATGTGGTTTTTAGATGCTACATTTATTGCACCCTCGGCCTCTACTACATGCCAAGTCTTTTAACATTGACTAATAACAATTATGGTTGAATATATTTTGACTTAATTTTTTTTAAAAAATGATCAAAAACTAATCTTATATAATAAAAAAAAAAATCTCAAATAATAGCGATATTTGACAATCCAACAAACATTGCGTTACTACATTTACTTTATTTCCAAAATATAAATCGTGATATTTCGAACTCTAGCATTTATTACCTTTTTTCCACAACAAAATATAGAGAAAATTATTATTTAA